ACAGGTGTCTGATAAAATTGTTTGCTGTTCTAATAAATCGTTCATGATGTCCATAGAACTTGTCTCATTATACAAATTACATATGTAGGTGTTTAATATAACGCACATTTCTTAGTCTGACAGCACCTAGTTTATTGGTATTCCATCTTAGTATAACGGATGTAGCGTGTATGTTAATATCTATGTATGTAACTAAAATTCCTTTTTCATCTACTGAATGGCACCATAAATAAAAATCCATAAACAATTTTGCACTTTCGGTATTGAAAATTCAGACAATTAGAAAAAATAATTGTTGTATGTGCAACAACCATTTCTTTATAATAGACCATAATTTTAAATAAAAGTACTCTCCTTACAACAAAAACACGTCTTTCACTAGGACTGTATGTGAGGGTTTGATTATATTTTTTGTTGATGTAATCTTTAAATGTAGCAATGAGAAACTGAAGATTTAAAAAAAAACGACTATTTTTTAAATAAAGGGTACCACTTTTAATGTATAAAAACATTACAGTTTATATCAGTAAAATGTATGAAAATTTTGAGCTCTGTGCATTGAAACATTTTGATGCAATGAGTTAGTTGCGTATGTATAAAGAGCACAATCCGAACACTTTTCCCGTTCAGTACTTCCCAGAAAAAAAATCCTTTCAAGAAAATCTTCACTTTTTATAAATCTTTTTCAATGAGGTATGAGTAGTACGATTATTAGTTAGTAGCATAAACATGGAAACATTTTGGCAAAGACTAAATTATACTGTAAGTTTTGTCTCTCTCGTTGATACGTATTAACCTACGTAATATTACATAATATGCAACGTAATATTTTGTACAGTAAAGAAGGTTCACTTATATCGAATTTCAATACAGATAAAAAACCAAGAAAAGACAGAAACCTACGTCATGTAGATCGTATGGGATTTGAGCATATTGTGAAGAGAATGTTACCAACGTTGCAAAAAGAGTGCTGGACTATATATGTCAATACGTAATCACAAGTGTGAATTGTTTTACGGTTAGTTTCGTAAGTAAGTGTAATATTAGTGAATACTACAGTATAAGTGCTACCATATATAAGTGCTACCATATACAAGTGTTACCATGTATTCCCTTAGCAAAACTCATGTATTTTACACTTAGAAATCGCCTATATTTTTCGTATAATTTTATGTGAATGTAATTAAAAATCGTCTAGTCACATGTATTATGTATGTGTTTATAAAACCCCTTTCTTCAAAATCCTTCTCTAGTTCAATTTCTATAACAATTTCTACTAGGTAATTTGCCTTCCCTAAGTTAACGGAGTGGCAGTATTTTAAACAGATCAATGCTCATTAGTTATTCGTTTCCTGAGTATTTATTGCAAATATGCATGTAAAGGAAATGCAGTAAATGATCATCATAATATTGTTTACTGTATTGGAAGGTACATTTTCGCATTTATCAATATATAAACAGCACCAACAAAAAAGAAGTTACTGAGAGTAATACGGAAAGTAATCTGAGATTCAGCAGTAGTGGTTCCTGGTTACATAAGATGCCATTGAAACTTTCTTTGACGGTAAAATATAAGCCAAACGCATGTTCGTGCTCTTAGTATATTTTTGAGTACTTAAAAAATATGTTTCGTGTCGTGCATGAATGAGTGAAAATATTATAATTTCAAATTAAGTTCTGGATCCAGTGAAGAGACTATAGTAAACAGCTGTTTCTTAAATCATATTTCAAAACACTTGAAATGAAAGCTCAAACAATGATAGTATAGTTATGGTAACGTTCATTATAAGTTTAGGCTTCAATAAAGTAAAGTACATTTTGTTATATATTTAACAACGAAGGAAAGAGGCAAGTTCTGAGAAATATTTATCCCGTGATCCTTCTAATTCTTTCATCATTTTCCCTCTTAAGATATTTATTTTCTAAACTCTGGATATAACCACCAGTAGGAAAAGGAGTGGAGAATTAAAACATATTAATTTATATTTTAACATAGTAAATTAGGAAATTTACAAAACACTAAAGTCTTTTGAAAATATCAGACTGTATTCCGATTTTAATTCTATCTTTATTTTCTTATCTCTTTTTTGTTGTGTTTGTTTAAAGTTTTAAGCTATTTGTAATGAAGTTTTGGACACAGGAAATCTTGATAATAACATTCAAGTTTCCTAAACATTGACATTTCTGGGTTTTAATTCGATTTAACTTGTGTTTTATCTTGCGAGATTAGTAAATCTTCTTAAGGAAACTTAGTAACATTTTCGTCTGCGTATATGTGAATGTTAGTTATCCTTGATCCTGGATTCACCAATGACGTGACATTCGACTGTTTTTGCAATTTCGTTTGTTTACTCAGATGTATAGAAGTTTCAAAAATGAATTAGGTTTATTACCTTTTGTACGCTACTTAGTTCTTATATAGTAAATCAGTTGTTATACAATAACACTTATAGAGACTTTGAAAAGAACAAAAACTATTTATGTTTATTTTATGTGGAAACTAAATAGAAACGTACTCGAGATACTCTGAAACAACAAAAACTATTTATGGTTATTTTATGTGGAAACTAAATAGAAACGTACTCGAGATACTCTGAAACAACAAAAACTATTTATGGTTATTTTATGTG